TTTAGTCCCAGAACTTGGGAGGCAGAGGCAGGTGGATTTCTGTGAGTTCAAGGCCAGCCTGGTCTACACAGAGAGTTCTAAGCCAGTTATAGGGAGACCCTGTCTCAAAAAGACCAAAAAACAAACAAACAAAAAAAGAACAATAAAATAAAACCCCAAATAAACAAAACAAAAAAAAACACATAGATATATGAATGCTACAAACTTGTACACAGATTCAGTTCAGTTATTTCTTACTGGACTTTAATTTCTCAAGTAGCAGAATTATGTATACAGGCTAATACTCTGCAATCAGTTCTTGTCATTGACAAAACTAGCAAGCATTTTGTAACAAAGAACAGCCCCTTAAGGTGTGAAGCTTTATGCAGCCACAGATGTGTAATTCAGTGCTATAGTAGTTCTAAGGAGGGCCTGAGAGTGCCCTCCTTAGAAGTCCTAACTGCATGGTTAGTCCTTGGCCAGCATCTGGAAACTTGGGCTGCAAGTGAGGGTTGTCCTTGATAAAAAAAATGGCTTGCTATGCTTCAACAGTTCACACAAATAAAGCGACATGCTTTCTTCATGGGAATCTGGCATTCTGGAATGTGCCCGGGAAGTTGCTATATGACCAGCCCTTAGCAAAAACATTGGGCACTAGGTCTCTAAAAAGCTTCTCTGGTTGTCCTAGTTTAGTTTTTATTGTCAATTTGACACATCTAAGAATAACCTGGAAGAGGGAGTCTCAATCGAGGGATTGCTCAGATCAGATTGGCCTGTGGCCATGTCTGTGGGGAACTGTCTTGATTGCTAAATAATGTGGGAGGGCTCAGCTGACTGTGGGCAGTGCCACCCCTGGGCAGGTGGTCCTGAGTTGTATTAAGATAGGTAACTGTGCATGACCCAAGACCAAGCCAGTGAGCAGTGTTCCTCCAAGGTTTCTGGTCTAGGTTCCTGCTCTGACTTCCCTCAGTGTTGGACTGTTTACCTGCAAGTCTAAGAGGAAATAAACTCTTTCCAAGTTTCTTTTGGTCATGGTATTTATCACAGCAACAGAAAGAATACTAGGATACTGGTAGACATTCTATGTGGGTTGTCAAACTTACTGAAGGAATTCAGTTGTCCCTTGTGAGCCCTCAGAGGCCATGTGGACAGCCTGCACCAGGCTTCCCCTTGGTTTGGCCACATGCACCTTTCCCTTTGTTGATTTTGCTTTGCACTGAATACAACTGGATGGCAAGTCCTGTGAGTCTTCTTACCAGTCACTGAATCTAGGGGTGATCTAGGGCCTAACAAGGGGTCAGCAGTTGGATCTACAGGGTGGGATCGTAACAAACATTTGCTGCCTGAATGACTATGAAATCAGCCAGGGTATGAAGTAGCAGATGAGCTGAGTGAGTAGTTATGAAATCTGAAAACGGCATCTAACGCCAGGAGAGCTGACTCAGTGACTTGGTTGCTTATGGATGTTAACTAAAGTAAAGGGTAGAAAACAAAAACAAAAACAAACCCCCCAAAACAGCTTAAGAGGTATCTTTGGTTTTTGTTCTTGCTTATAGGTGGAAAAAGGCTCAAAAGTTCCAAAGGTAAGTTTTCATAAGAGCAAAATCTTTAAAATTTATGCCTTCCTTTCCTCCAGTAAAAGAGAAAAACAGGACTGGGGATAGAGCTCAGTTGTACTGTGTTTGCCTCCCATGCATAAGTCCTTGCATAGTCCTGCACTGTTTGAAAAAACAGGGACAGCATGGAAACAAAGGAAATCTCCAGATGGAAATACAATCTGAGGTCTGTTTTAAAATTTGAATTGGTTTGATTTTACAGATAGGGTTTCATTATGTAGTTAGACCTGGCTGGCCTGGAGCTCCATTATGTAGACCAGGCTAGCTTGAACTCAGAGATCCTCCTGCCTCTGCCTTCCGAGTTCAGAAATAAAGGCGTGCGCCATTACACTCCAATTTGGAGTTTTCAAAGCAGCGTGCCATTGCTATTGAGCTCTATGAAAGTAAACATCCAATCTTTGAGGCTGTGGATTTTCCACCTTTATGTGTGTACTTTTTGAGTGAATCAATTTGGACTCCAAGCCTGGACAAGGTAAAAGGAGGTTAGGGTACTCTTGCTTGTCTCTTGGACTCAGAACATGAACATGAGGCTTGCAGCACCTTTGCTTTGCCCCTGTCAAAAAAAAGGCATTTCTGAAATTCTAAATTCATAGTCCTGGATCTTACTCTAGGGTGAATCCTGACTATGATTATGATAAGAAGCAGGCTCTTATGTAGCATAGGCTGGCTATGAACTGGAAATGTAGCTGAAGATAACCAACTCCTGATCCTCCTGCCTCTACGTCCCATGTGCTGGGATTACAGGAATGCCTTGAATCCCAATCCTGATTTCAGCCCCAACACAAACTGTGCTGAACTGAAAGCAGACATACCCTTGATAAACAGGACTTCACCTTGAGGCTGCTGAAAATGTAAGACACTTCCATGGATCTGAAAATCTGAAAAAGGTTTCAATTCTATATGCCCACAGCAAAGGGTGGGTGACCTCTTTAATGAGACCACCCAAAATCCAGCTGCTAATTGGCTCTACTGTAATCCTAACAATGCCACAGAAGGCAATCCAATCCATCTCCACATCCAGTGGGCTGTGTCCTCTCACCACTACTGACTTGTGTTCTGTTTTCTAGTCTAGTTGCAGTTTGCAACAATGGATGAATAACTTGACTTACCTTCCCCAGCCCTCCTAGCAAACACCTTAAGGCAATTTTGTAATTAAAAAAGCTGTCCCCAGAAAGGAACTGATTTTCTTCCAAGCTAATGAACAGATAATCAGAAAGAAAAAAGAGGGAGAGATAGCACAAGTCCATGTAAAAGTTTGAAATTTTGGGATTTTATCCTGACCAATTCATAAATATCCTATGCTTATCTAGTTAAGCTGTAAAAATACTTCTCTAGCCGGGCGTGGTAGCACACGCCTGTAATCCCAGGCAGAGGCAGGCGTATCTCTGTGAGTTCAAGGCCAGTCTGGTCTATATAGTGAGTTCCAGGACAACTGGGGCTACAGGGAGACCCTGTCTCAAAAAGACCACCCCCCCCAAAAAAATTTCTCTGTAGCGAATGCTTTTCTTCTTCTCAAGGGTCTGAATGATTGAGAAAGAATGAAGTTTCACTATTGAATGGGATACACTGATTTTATACAAGAAAACCAAATTGAAACAAAATGATAGATAAATATACAAATAAATAGAAACAGTACCTCAGAAGGCGAAAGGGAAGGGAAAGATGGTTAATTTTTGCTTTTCAGAACTATTCCTGGAAACTTCCCCTTCTTAAATAAATAAAAATGTCAGGGTTGTGAGAGCATTTCATTCAAAAGGATGGCCAAGCTTACAATAAATAAGACAGTGACTGGGGACAACCGCAAACCCCATCTTCTTCACTCTCCAAGCAGAACACCTCCAGATAAGTCAGGCAAACGAACTGGTGTGATAGGTAAGCTAAACTGGAACTAACAGGGAAACCCACCTGACACCAAGGTCCAAACTGAACAAACTGGACTGAATTGGGAAGCCTAGGGTGAAAGGCTCCACCACTGGAGGCCCTGTTCACCCGTATGACCTGACTAGTGCAGGTTTTGCTTGGTGCCTAACAATGTAAAACTCCTTGTTTCCAGGGCCATGCCCTCCAGTATTACTACATATCTCCTCTAGGATTACATTTGTGTACATGCCCTGATCATCATGACACTGCCTCAACCCTGGAAGCCTTTTAGGTTTGCTTCTACCTACCAACTGGGTCTATGCCTGAACTGATTCCTCAAGTCATGCAATGTCCCCATTCCTACCCTCCCCCAGCACTGGGACTGACCCCAGGGCCTTGCTCATGTTAGGCAAGTATTCTACCAATGAGCATATATCCCACTTTAAAAAAAAAAAAGTTCACAATTCCCAGCACCCACATGGTAGCTACGAACCATCTTTAACTCCAGTTCCAGGGGAATCCGAAGCCCTCGTGACCTCTGAGGCATTGCACGACATGAGTGCACTCACATACATACAGGCAATATACTCATACACATAAAATAAAAATAATAAATAAGAAAAAAAAGTTCACATAGAACTTTTTCTAAGGTAAACTTCATGGTTAATGAAGTTATTTTAACTTGCTAAATTCAGGGCCTCCAAACAATATAACTAAGATCAGTAAGTACTACAGACTGTACAGACTGTTTTTTTTTTTTTGGTCTTTGAGTCAGGGTCTCCCTGTAGCCCCAGCTGGCCTACTCACTATGTAGACCAGGCTGGCCTTGAACTCACAGAGATCTGCTGCCTCTGCCTGGGATTAAAGGCATGTAGGCGTGTGCTACCATACCCGGCCTCAGACTGGTCTTATACTGTCTAATAAGAGCCTACTAATAAATAAAATAAAAACAAAAAATGTTTTGGCCAAAAGCCAAGAGTAACAAAGCAAACCTAAGACTGAACTCCTTAGAAAAATCTACTTTGAAGGTTAGATTTGGGCTGGCATCTAAGAACTTGACCAGTTCCCACACTTACATAAAACTTCCCTGAAATAATATTGTTTCAGTGTATCTAAACTGTTTACACAAACATCATGGTTTACAATGAATACCTGCTCTTCCTAGGAGTCTAGAATTTTGAAGTGACTATATGACCAACTCTATTAACTCAGGATACAGTCTCTATACTAAGTTTCCCTAGTTGACAATGTATCACGTTGTCAGTCTTGTTGCTAGACAAATCAAATGTCTTGTGCCACTCCTCTGGAAAAGGACTCTTGGAACTGTGTGCTTATTTCCTTTTTAAACCTCCCAACTTAAACCCATGTGCATTTTCCCGGCACATTCAGTCCCATGAATCCACCTAGCAAATCACTAATCCCGGGATGTGTCTTGGGAATCCCCAATGCAACCAGTAACCATTTTAAACAAGTGAGCAAACCAAGTCCCAGAAAGACATCACAAAATTTGCTTCATGTTAACAAAAGAATCATTGGATTACTTACGAAAACAGATCAAACCACTGCTGTTTTGTTACAGATTCCTGGCGTAAAAGTTTCAAAACAATTGGACGCATGAAATCCCACTTGTCTTCAAACTGGAGAGAACCTTTATTCTTAAAATAAAGAGATAAAAAGTAGTTTAATTTAAATGCAGTTAAGTGTCACATACACATAGTATCTTTTAAGAGATACCCAAAGGGGGCTAGGGAAATGGCTCAGCAGTTAAGAGCACTAGTTGCTCTTGCAGAAGACCTAGGTTTAGTTCCCAGCACCCACATAAAGATCAGCTAACAACTGTTTGTAACTCCAGTTCCAGGGGATCTGACACCCTCTTCTGGCCACCATGGGCATTGCAGGCATGTGATGCACTAACATACATGGAGGCAAAATATTCATACATATAAAATAAAAAATATTGCCGGGTGTGGTGGCGCACGCCTTTAATCCCAGTACTCCGGAGGTGGATCTCTGTGAGTTCAAGGCCAGCCTGGCCTACACAGGGAGTTCCAGGACAGCTGGGACTACAGGGAGACCCTGTCTCAAAAAGACCAAAAAAATAAAAAAATAAAAATAAATAAAAAATAAAAAATATTTTAAAAAGGAGATATCTAAAGAAATAATGGGTTCAAACTTTGACAACTAGTTTTCTAAACCAAAATTCTTATAGGCTTAGTTTTATACAAAAGAATCATAGGAAGATAGCTATAAAAGACAAAGACCATGGCTGGGAGTATAGTCTAATGGTAGAGTATTTGCCTACCATGCATGAGACTCTAGGTTCAATCCTGGAGGGAAGAGACAGAAAGAGACAGAGATATTGAGAATGACTGTACAAAAGTGTGCAGTGAAGAATTTTCTCTGAAATTATGACCTCTCTTCTTGGCTGCTTCTGATAGATAATCTCTGAGCAAGTGGCATGTTTACCCAGTATAACCCTGAGAGCCTTGGGTCGTATGGGACAGGCTAACCAATATGATTTTTGTAGGGAACTGGCCATATCTATACGGTTTTAACAGTAAGGGCTGGCAACTCAAAGATGAACAATGTGACACAGAATGGGGGCTTTGTTTCAACCTAGAAACTGAAAGCAATCATTGATGCCTATGTGAAAAGTTAGATGAGCCTCCATTAGGCAAAATTAGTGCATACTGCCACACACTGATTAAGAGAAACGTGTGTTGACTATAGGGTTTGGAAGGGCGCAGAGGCTGTGTCTGTGACCTCCTCACTCTTCTGGCTGATCTTAAACTGAACCTTGTCCTTACAATAAATAATAACACTTATACCAGCTTGTAGTAAAGTCTATGAACCTTTTTAGGTGGTGCTGGAAGTAAGGGGATATCTTATGGAGACTGAACCCTCTAATTCTGTAGTTGTCCTAAACTCTTCACAGAAAGTACAGCTATCTGTGACTGCTGCCCAAGCATGAGAACCTGAGCTCAAATTCTCAGTAGCCATATAAAAAGCCCAACACAGCCATGAGCGTGCCTGTAATCCCAGTGCTGTGGGGGCTGGAGGATCACTGGAGTTTTGCCAGAGAGTAGTCAAGCTCCAGGTTCAATAAGACACCCTCTTGCAAGGGAGTAAGGGCAAGAGTGACAGAGCAAAACACACAACATCTTCCTCTGGCCTCTGCAAGTGCACACACATAGGAACATACACACACATGCCATAAAAATATCACACACACATATATACCATAAAAATACCTCTCTCTCTCTCTCTCTCTCTCATACACACACACACACACACACACACACATTTTTAAAAAAGTACAGTTGTCACTGGGTATCCACAAGGGCTTGGTTCCAGGAACCCCCATAGATACCAATCTGTGGATGCTGAAGTCTCTTATATAAAATGACACAGTGCTCTGCATAATACATAATATTTTAATCATCTCTAATTATTTCTAATACTTAGTGTAGATGTTACAAAAATAGTTATTATATTGTTCAGGATATGACAAGAAAAAAATCTGTACATGTTTAAAAGTCTGTATATGTCTTTTGAAATATTTTTGATCCATTGCTGGTTGAACCTGCAGATTGAACTGTGGATTACAGGTTACCCGAGTATTAGAAATTTGTATGAAAACAGAGGAAAGAAACATAGGAAAATACCCATTTCATTTCATAACGCTAATGAAATCTTGATACCAAATGAGAACAGCACAACATGCAAAGGCCTATGGCAACAGAACAAAGATCTAAAGGAGTGTTATCAAACCAAACAAGTATCATATCAAAACAGTGATTTGTCTTCAACATTTTGTCTTAGGAATACAAAAGTACTTTCACATCAAGAGGGGAAAAAAATCATCAATCAGTTATATTACCAAAAAGAAAGAGGGAATGTTCTTATGTTTTAGCGAGGGGTTCAGTTCCTTTGCAGGTTAAATATATCCATGTGACTTATTTGAGCCAATAAATTTCAACGAAATCCATTAAATTTCTTTTCCTTTTGGCCTTTTTTTTTTTTTCTATTTTCTATTAGTTTTTTCTATTTTTCATTCTTTTTCTTCATTAATTTTTTTTTTTTTTTGGTCTTTTTGAGACAGGGTCTCCCTGTAGCACTTGCTATGTAGACCAGGCTGGCACTGAACTCACAAAGATCTGCCTGACTCTGCCTCCCAAATGCTGGGATTAAAGGCATGTGCCACCATGCCCGGCTTCCATTAATTTTCTTATACCACAGTACTAAATACTCTATGAAACTCATGATTTTCTTTTTTTGGTCTTTTTGAGGCAGGGTCTTCCTATAGCTGCAGCTGGCCTGGATTCTCTATGGAGACCAGGCTGGCCTAGAACTCAGAGATCCACTGGCTTCTGCCTCCTGAGTGCTGGGATTAAAGGCATGCACCACCATGCCCGGCTAACTCATCATTTTTTTTAAATATACATTTTTAAAATTACATTTATTTGGGGGGAGGGGCACATGCCACAGCACACATGTAGAGGTCAGAGGTCAACTTTTTAAAAAAAGATATTTTAAATTTATGTGTATGAGTGGAATGCCTGCATGTGTGTCATGCAAGGCCCATGGAGGTGAGAAGAGGGTGTCAGATACCTTGGAACTAGAGTTAAGGACAGTTGTTAGCCTCCATGTGGGTACTGGGAATTGAATCCTGGTCCTCTGCAAGAGCAGCCAGTACTCTTTAACAGCCAAGCCATCTATCTCTCCACTCATATGATTCTGTTATCTTGCCGTATCTATTAGATTTCAGAGCCTAACTAGTTTACTAGCTACTCAAAGAATCTATAACATTTTGATTTTTGATTGCAAAAAAAGGGCACTAAAAATTTACTTATTTTTATTTCATGCGTATGAGTGTATTATCTGCATGTATGTAAGTGTACTTGTGTCATGCAATGCCCTTAGAGGTCAGAAGAGGGCATCGGTTCCCCTGGAACTGGAGTTATGGACAGTTGTTAGCTGCCAAGTGGGTGCTGGGACTCAAGCCCAGGTCCTCTGCAAGAGCAGTCAGTGCTCTTAACCACTGAGCCATCTCTCCAACCTTAGGAGGAAAACTTTTGAAAGTCATTTCTCTCCTTCTACCATGTGAGTCCTGGGAACTAAACTGAGGTTACTGGACTTGGTGGCAGAAGCCTTACTAGTTAAGCTATCCTGCCAGCCTCTACAAATGTTTTTGAGGATACTGCTCACCTTGATCTTTCATTGTGGGAATTTTTTGTTGTTCTACTTTTATTTTTGAGATTGAACCACAGGCCTTGCAAATGCTAGACAAGTGCTGTATCCACAGCCCTTATCACAGGTTCTTAACCTGAGGCCCATGTACCAACTGCATGAAATTTGTAAGCTCTCTGAATTATCATCCTGAAACCATTTCTCAGCATGTTCTCTGACAACAGCCTACATCAAAAAACACCTGGGGCCAGGTGTGGTGGCATATGCCTTTAATCCCAGCACTTGGGAAGCAGAGGCAAGTAGATCTCTGTGAGTTCCAGGCTAGCTGGGGCTACAGGGAGACCCTGTCTCAAAAAGACCAAAAAAAAAAAAAAGAACTTAAGTGAGCCAAGCATACCTCTGAGAATTCCAGGCCAGCTAGGGCAACATAGTGAGACCCTGTTTTGTTTTGTTTTTTTTTTTTAAAAAAAGTACTGAAGTAAAAATTACATAGTTAAATTTTGCTTTCCTCAAAGAACTAGCTAATGAGTTTAGCCAGATTTGTGATCAGCAGCATATACTTTGTGTATAGACCTTATGCTTGGCTTCATGTTACTTTTTCTACTGTTATTTATATTTTCCTGTAACCCTTGTTTCAGAATTTACCCTTCCTTTTTGAAAAAGGATGTACAAATAAACAAATACAAAAGAATTATAGGAAGAATATACCAGTCTTAACACTTCCTAGCTCTGTCAAAGAGACTCCTCATATTCTCTTAATACTTTCTGAGTTAGCTGGGCGTGGTGGTGCACACCTTTAGTCCCAGCTCCCGGGAGGCAGAGGCAGGCAGATCTCTGTGAGTTTAAGGCCAGCTTGGTCTACATAGTGAGTTCAGGTCAGCTGGGACTGCAGGGAGACCCTATCTCAAAGACCAAAAAAAAAACAAAACAAAAAAAACCCAAACCAAACAAACAAACAAACAAACAAAAAAACCTTCTGACGTTCAGCTAAGTCAATTTCCATAGGTACTTTTAGGAATTACAAAATTAAACATATAACTTTTGCAATCAAAAATCAAAATGCTATAGATTTTTTGAGCAGCCAGTTACTTCAGATAAATTAAACTAGTTAGGCTCTGAAATCTAGTAGATATAGCAAGACAACAAAATCCTATTTTTGTTCTCCCATGAAACATGAAATGTCAACTACAGAAACATTTCCTCCTAATTCTCAAGGAAGAATTTCATTATTTCTATAAACTTTTAAAATAGATTCCAGGGCTAGAGAGATGACTCAGCAGTTAAGAGCACTTGCTGCGTTTGCAGAGGACCTGGGTTTGGTTCTCAGCACTCACATGGTGGCTAACAACCACTGGTAACTCCAACTCCAGGGGATCCAATGCCCTCTTCTGTCCTCCGTGGGCACTGCACAGCATAGGTTCACTTACATACATGCAGGCAATACACCCATACACATAAGATAAAA